AGTGTTTATATGCATGTATTCATTTGTGTCTGGTTTTCGGCAGACTACAGTGGAATTAGGGGTCGTTTGTGCAGGATATGGGTTCTTGTGTTTAATCTGTGCTTAACTGTTGGTCTATGTACGCATGTGGCAAATAGACATCTTTGGTCCAATCAGATGACTCTGAGGGCGGGACAGGCGTCTTAAGTGTAGAGCTCTATGTTTAACTGTTTTGAAGTATGTCATTTCTTCAATACTGGTGTGACCAAACGAAAGTGCAAAAACGATTGCTATGTTTCCTTCACCCTGTTTTCATGCGCATTCTGAAGTATCGCATCAGAAACGAGTGATGTGAATGCCAAATTTCGAATAAAAATCCCTTAATTCGCAAAAACGTTTTTACGCTCGCTTGGGGTGGTTTTTGACTTGTGCGAAAAAGGGTTAATGCGAATAATGGGAAATGGAAACGCATTTGCAGAGTAAATTACGCATCAAAAAAGTCATGTGACTTTGCGCTGTGGGACGGCAAAACCTGACTTAACCAGCTGACCGATCTTGCTCCACAGCATCTTAAAGGGATAGTTCACCGAAAAATGAAAATTATGTCATTAATTACTCACCCTCATGTCGTTCCAAACCCGTAAGACCTCCGTTCATCTTCGGAACACAAATTAAGATATTTTTGAGGAATTCTGAGAGCTCGCTGACCCTCCCATAGACAGCAAGGGTCCTTACATGATCAAGGTCCAGAAACGTAGCAAGGAGATCGGTAAAATAATTCATGTGACATCAGGGGTTCAACCGTAATTTTACGAAGCTACGAGAATACTTTTTGTGCGCAAAAGAAAAAAAAAACGACTTTATTCAACAATTCGTCTCCTCCATGTCACCCTGGTGCCATATTGGAGACTATCCACTAAACGTAAACAGCATATGCTATTCTGTGTCAGCTGCGTCACGCAGATACGTTTTCTACATTGTTTGCGCTTTGATATGAACGTAAACAACGTATCCGCGTGACGCAGCTTTATTTATTTATTTGTAAATTTAGAACTAAAGTTATTGCTGAATTAGTTTGTTAAAATGTCTGTACGCACAAGGATTCAAGCTCACGGCATCTGATTAAATCAACCGGATCTCATGAAAATGCGTGTAAATAGTACGTAAAAAGTCAATTTTTGCATATCAATACCACGAGTTTTCGTTTTTATTTAGCGTACTATTTACACGCACTTTCATGAGATCGGGTTGATTTAATCAGATGCCATGAGCTTGAATCCATGTGCGTACGGACATTTTCACAAACTAATTCAGCAATAACTTTAGTTCTAAATTTACAAATAAATAAATAAATAAAATGTAGAAACAACTGAAACCACATACGCAAATAAAAAATAGATAGATAGATAGATAGATAAATAAATAAATAAAATGTAGAAACAACTGAAACCACACACCACATATTACTAACACTAACTAACTAAATAAATAAATAACACACTCTGGGTGGCCTTATATATTTTAAGGTGATATTTTATTTTAAATGTATTTTATCATATTGTGAGAAGTTCTCCTTTGCCTACAAATATCTATTAGTGAATGAGACCCAACAGGCGATTCAGTCTATTGTTCCTGTGATTTAAGCTGAACTAAAATGTTTAACATCAGAAAAATTCTTTATTCTTTATGCAAGAACACATCCAGTGTGAACATTTCCGAGGATGTTTTTACTCTTCCTTTGCAAGCTTTTAGCACAGTTTCTGACACATAATGGATAATTCCAGATGCCGTGAGCTTCAATTCATGATGCAAAACGTAAAGAACCGGATGCGGCTCCGACTTTTAAAGGGCAGGGTTGGGAAAGGGCAATGAAAGGTGTCTGAGCTGTGGAGGGGACGTCAGCTGTGGCTTGACTGTGGAGAGAGAGCCGGGGCTTAGGAAAGAACCCTGCGGACAGCAGGGGCCCCTCATCTCCATGACACACTCTCTGCCACCGCAGCGATCGCGGTCAGGGGCCACGCTAATCAATACGTGAAGCCTGCAGGATTGCGGGGGAAAATGTCTTAATGTCCTCAAGATGTGCACGACTGCAGGTTACACTCATTCTGGTTCTCAAGCCACTGGCATGATGTTGGTGTGTGTGTGTGTGTGTGTGTGGGATCAGGTGGGCAATAGAGAGAGAAAGAGAGAGGACAGGCTAATTAATGTAAGCACTTGCCAGTGATTAAGCTTTAAACAGAAAGGTCAGCTGAGCAGCGGAGCAAGGCCTGTCCCAGCGCCTTGCTCTTAGGGCAGTCTAAACCTTTCCAGCTTAAATGGTAAAGATGTCATTTCACAATGGGCGAGCATGGGACACATGTAGGCCTGACACACGGGTCATTGGCTCGCCACCCTCCATTACCCGGCCAAGGCAAATGTGCCGATCTGTGTCATTTAAGGGATGAAAAATAAGGCCTCGGACGAGATCAATAGATCCTGCGGTCCTCAACCGGCTGTGATTAATTGACTGTCACCAATTAATGGGGGAAAGATTACAAACCATTGTCTGAAGCATATGTGGGCAAAATACAATATTTAGAGTATCGCAAAGGTTCCAATAATATGATTTGAACTAGATTTTTACATGTTCACGTGGGATTACAAATTAATTTTTTTTAGCAAATTTCTGAAGTAAACTGCCATGGGTTTTCTAACAAACAGTTATGACAATAACCATCATGCATCGTGTAAAACTGTACCTGGTTGCATAAATCATCAAAACATTAGGAATCTTACATTAATTATAATATAACATAATATACACTACCATTCAAAAGTTTGGGGTCAGAAAGATTTTTTTAAAGAAATTAATACTTTTATTCAGTAAGGATGCATTAAATTGATCAAAAGTGACAAAGACATTTATAAAGTTGCAAAAGATTTCTATTTCAAATACATGCTGTTCTTTTGTTCTTTCCATTCATCAAAAAATCCTTTATAAAATAAGACTGGAGTAATGATGCTGAAAATTCAGCTTTGCATCAAAGGAATAAATTGCATTTTTAAATAAATTCAAATAGAAAACAGTTATTTTAAATTGTAATAATATTTTACAATATTACAGATTTTACTCTATTTTTAATCAAATAAATGCAGCCTTTATTAGCATAAGAGGCTTTCAAAAACATTTAAAGGGGTCATATGATGCGATTTCAGTTTTTCCTTTCTCTTTGGAGTGTTACAAGCTCTTGGTGCATAAAGAAGATCTGTAAAGTTGCAAAGACTAAAGTCTCAAATCTAAAGAGATATGCTTGAGGTATTCGGCCAATCACAACGCACTGGATAGCTGGCCAATCACAGCACACCTTGCTTTTTCAGACCGATGAGCTTTGTAAAAATCGACGCGTTTCAGAAAGGCGGGGCATAGAGGAGAAACAATAATGTACAGTATGTGGAAAATAATGTGTTTTTTGAAGCTTAATTCGCATAAACACATTTCATTACACCAAATACACAAAACCGTAAAGAACCGGATGCGGCTTGACTGTGGAGAGAGAGCCAGGGCAGCATCATATGACCCCTTTAAAAAAATTGTACCGACCCCAAACTTTGGACCATCAGGGTTTAATATAATAAATGAGTCATCAGCAATGCAAATCAACTCATACCTCTCTCTTAACAACAGAAATGGTGAGCTTCTCATCTCGGGATGGGTGTTTTTGTAGGCTCGTGTGATGAGGTCTTTCACTGCGCTGGATGACTCATTTCACTGGAGATTTGGTGATGAAATGGACGTCTCTTGTTGACACAGATCTTGTTCCACTTATGAACGATGAAGTGAGTAGCAAGCGATTTTTGTGTGTATTTCTGAGATGCTGATCTCACTGACAGGAGACAAAAGGGGAGGGAGGGGGTCTGTAAAAATAAGAAAACAAGGCAAATTTATGTTATTATGTAAGCGCATGCTCAGCAGTTTGGCCTTTGCTCACAAACGCGCGCAAACTCTCTCTTACTACATGCAGATGTCTAATTCTGAGTTTCAGACCTACTGGCGTACAGTCAGACTACTCATAGTCTAGACAAAGTGAAGTCGCCATGCGCTGTGTTGACATGAAAGACCTGCAACAAATGACAGTAATGTAGTCGCAGCACCAATAGTCCGCTTGATGCAATCAATGTACAACATAGTTTTGCATCAGTTCGATGCTAATGAATTTATCTCACAAGCGCTCAGCCACTGGGTCTGTCATTATGGGATAATAAAGCCATCATTTGGCAATGACCAATGAATTATGAGATCAAATAAAAATGAAAAAGGTTTGCACTGTTGTGATAAAACTCTTGAAACAAAGAGGCAAGATGCATCCACAGAACAGGAGGGACAAACACCATTTTTAATACATCAAAAAGTATTTTAAATATTAGAAAACACACATAAATTGGCTTTTTAATTGCTAATAAGACATTTGATTACTTTATACATTATTTTGCATATTTTCATCAGATCCCATTCATGACAAATGCTCTTCAGGACACATTTTGAAATGGATCTCAAACTGATCACTCAGACATCAGCCTGTGATTTAAGATTTAAGATGCAATTCAGCCAAGTGTAAATACATTTGCATTTGACCATATACATAAAATATACCCAACACCAACAAGAACAACAACGATGACGACGATGATGATGATGACTAACATTACATCCACTAATCTAATTATGTACTTATTATTATTTACTAGTACTACTAATAATAATTTTAACTTTTATATATTATTATTATTATTATTGCTTGTTGTTGTTATTGTTGTTAATGGTTACTGAAAGCATGCATTACCATTCTTTTTTAACAGAAAATATGAGATTCTATTCCGGAGTATAGTCTATCAATTACTTTTGAATTCGCTTTGACCAAAAATTCTATAAAAACAAGATTTATTACATAAGAACTTTGTTCAAATAACGTTACTTGAGAAACGCATTAATCATTTAAGTCTTCAAACAAAGCTAACCGCAGTGAGTATGTGCAGTATTCTACGGAGGACGCGTTTCGTTATAGTAGTTAAGTACTCTTCGCTTGCCGTAGTCGCGTGCGCTGCTCGTTACTTTGTTTCTGTTGGAGGGAGTTTTGGAGCATGTTTCTCATGTGAGGACTAAATCATGGCGCAAAGTTTTCAAAACGTTACTCTTTCACTGACTTTACCGATATCCTGTCAGATTTGCCTCGGAAAGGTAACAAACTTTCAAAAAACTTTAAATACACGACAGAAGAAAATACACACACAGAGTCGTGCAGTGTGTGCGTGAACTTCACGTTTCTTCTTTGTTTAATTATACAATTTATATTACAGGCCTACATTTATACCTAACATAATGCACCGCACTTTTATCGTGCATTAATGAAGATAATGTGTAAATAAGTGCATATTATAGACAACAATGTTTCTATAACTTAAAGCAGCGATAGTTTTTCTACAGTAGAACACACTGAGGCCCGTTTTTGTTTTCTCCCAAAACATAAAACATCAATAAAGACCAGCCAGCACTCGTCTAAACGCCTGCTTCTGACTGTACACTGTTGCATTTGATGTAGTTATTGAAGCCCTGAAATATTCACAGAGTGATGATAAAGAGTGATGAAAGAAAAAGGGCCAGATAAGGTAGGAGCGTTAAAGTTGTTTTAAGATTCAGTCACTGCAATCTATTTAAAACATTTGCAAACACAGTACTTGACATGTATCACCTGCTCTGAATGGTGTGAGTTTAAGGTGGGCAGGGCAAATTGTTTACATAGACAGGATGGGAAAATTGACATGCTATGCCATAGCACACACACACACACACACACACACACACACATATATTGATACAAAACAATACCGATTGTTTCAGAGCAGCTTTACAGGGATAAACAGCAAAAAAATCAATAAATATACATACACACGTGCATTGTAATGTTGTGTTAAAAACATTTAATCAAACAAATAATTGTAATTAAATAGGCATTTGGTTATTTGTTCGCAATGATGTTTTTTTTCTGTCCTGTTTGTTTCTAATAATCCTGTACGATTTAATATTAACAGTCACTACTTTGCATTTACCTGTTGGTTTGTTCTGATCTACACCTCAAAGGTCCGTCAGCCGGTCATTTGTTGCAACAACCATGTGTTCTGCTCCAATTGCATCAAAGTGTGGCTGGAGAAGAGCAGTAAGTGTCCCACCTGTAGAGTGGCCATCACCCCAGAAAACCCCTGCAGAGAAATCATTGGTAATGTCAGCGGACCTCACAATCATATATTGCTGTTTTTGAAATGCAAAGCTGTAGAACTACGTTTTATTGTGGGATGACGAGTGTGATTAAATGTCTTCCTCTGTGTATACGTGTTCACAGGAGCCACAACTGACTTTGAGTCCAGTGAGAGTGATTCTGTGAAGAGACGCCTCCGAAAGACTCGAGGGGAGCTGCTTTTAAGAGAATACGAGGTACTTCTAGTCAAACACCCAATGAAATGCTTTGATGAACACAATTTTCTGTTGACATTTCCTGTATAATTTAGAGTGGAATACCCATTTTGCCATGTTTGAATCCATACCACAAAATTCTGCAGACTTCCCTCCAAAAATAAATGGAGAGGCGATAGAGGACCTACAATAATGTACAGTATTTGAAAAATAATGTGTTTTTTGAACATTAAAGCATGTCAACATATTCTGTTACACTAAAAAAAGCTGTTTAAAAAAGCATCATATGACCCCTTTAAACAAAATCTGGTCCATTCCATCTGGGCCTCATCGTAACTGACAGACTTGAACTACTAAGGCACGAGACTCCAAATTTGACTTAACACTTGTTTTAACACAATGTGCCAGTAAGGAATTGTCCTAGCTATGCAATGAAAGCCAGGAAGATTCATTCACTGAGCTTATGAATCATCTGTTTTACAGGATGAAATCGAAACCCTTTTGAAAGAGAACGAGGACTTGAAAAGCAAAAACCTGAGCCTTGAGATGCAACTTAAGACGGCAGTGGAACCGAGCACGGTCTTGGTTCCTCAGAGTGAAACCAATACTGTCGACTCGAGCGCTCTGGAGGAATCAGCCAATAAGCTGAGAGCTGCCAATGACCTCTACAGGAAGGTCAAACAGGACCTCGAAAGGCTAAAAGAAGTATGAATGTGATTGCTTTTTTGAATACAATAAAAATGGGACAAAATAGTGCATAAATAAATATAATCCCATAATTTAGCCATTTTAAGATACTATGCATTGACTGTGCTCATTTGGTCAATGTGTCATTTTTGAAAATTTGCAGTCTCCTCTGTTATTTCTCATTATTCCTGTGAATAATGCACATTTTCGGTTTTCAAATATTCTGTAGTGCATTCTGGGAAAATATATGAAATTAAGTGTTTATTGTTTCTTTAATGTGAGACATTTAATGTCTCATTTGCCATTATTAAACTATTTTAAAATTTGTGGCTTTAATAATGGATAAAAAATTTGCTTAATAAAAGAATATAAATAATATAATATGAACATAATAATAACTGTTATTTAAATGTGCATAGAAAACCTTAATGAGATTATATATATATATATATAGATTAATTTTCACTGACTGCTGGAAATATGGGAAATGGTGTTATTTGTGTTCTGTGCTTAAAAATAAAAAAAGAAACCATTCTGAAAGCAACATGTTTCTTCCCCTCAGGCTAACAAAACTTTGCGGTCCCAAATTTTTGACTTAATCCAGGAAAATATGCGCCTGAAAGCCGAAGTGGACAGCAGATCTCCTCAAAAGTAAGCACATGTTCATAATGTAATGCTGGTAAGGTGTACCGACTTGCATTTTAAGCTAGATCAAAAAATTACAACAACGGATAGATTATTCATATTTATTTAGGTACTATTTATGTATATTTACAAAGTATTAGTAACTCAGATGTACAAAATTGATCTTATTTGTGGTTTGTCTCAATTTACATCGAGATTTGGCAGGTATACAGTCGCAGCTCTTGAGGCTAAAATTCATCAGTATGAGCGGGACGTGGCACAGCTGAAAAGAGCTCTGGAGCGCAGTGATAAATACATCGAAGAGCTTGAAGCCCAGAACCAGAGGGACGGCCCTAAGTCTGAAGAAGGTGTTTGTTCAAGCGCTGCCTCTGGAGGGATTCAAAACGGAGGGATTGAAAGAATCGCCCTGATGCGAAGGAGCCTGAGTGAAATGGAAGAAACTTCTGTTTGCACAGACCTGGACCGAAAGTGTTCAGAGCTTCCCAACAACCATGGGCGCCTCCTGACAACATCTGATGTGTGCCAAAGGGTAGGTTTTCTAGGAGGGCCCTTGACTCCACAGAACGATGGACTCAAAGACATTACGGTTCCCTCTACGCCCTCCTCGGCTCTCAGATCTCTGAGCTTGAAGAGTCCTGCTGCGGTTTGTAGCGACCGAAAGTTAGGTCTCAAACCTCTCACTTACCTGAGAAGACTCAGTTTTGATGATTGCCAGGGCCCAACCAGCTCATCCTCAGTCAACCAAAGCCCAGGATCCTTCCAAGTCAACAAAGGTGCTCCTTTTGGTGAGAAAACCACTGTGAATTTGAACAAAGAGGTCTTGTGTGGAGGCTGGATGGACTGCGGACCTGATCTTCCCCGTTTGGATGAAAATAGAGAGGAGTTCAAGCGCTCCGAGGACCCTGTGGGTAACAGCGAAGCTTGTATGGATGCAGCGTACTTGGACAAGATCTCTGAGCTGGACTCTATGATGGCTGAAGGTGAGAGCTCCAGCAGTCAGGTCTCTCACCTTCCTCTGGCATCATCATCATCATCATCATCATCTTCATCACAATCGCCAGACTTTGATGCCACCCAAATTCCAGATCTGGATTTCTGTAGCAACCTCTTGGCTGATCCTGGAACAGCAAGAGAGCACCAAACTGCATCTTTGACTCAGGAGACCACCCATTGTGATGCTGCTACTGCTTCTGAGGAAGAGGCTTCAGTTGTTGAGTTCAGTGACCGAGCTGGAGTTATGGTGGAAAATCCCACACAGCCCACCAAGCGCAAGTGTCCCCCAGGATTGACCATCTCCAGTCCATCGAAACTCTCAAAACTAAAGTAGAAGCAGAAGCATCTCAAGTATTTTCCAGCATGGTCTCCATTTTGATCTAATTCAGTGGGTTTACTTCTCAGTGACTTTTTAGGGGTTCAACGAGATTTAACAGCCTTTCTTTTCCATCAGGGCTTTTTATTACGAAATTGCTTCACTGTTTATTATTATGACAGCAGTGTGTGCTGGATGATGTTACTGTATGTTATAAAAACCGTTTCAGTATCCTGAGGGGATAAGGTGTTAACATTATGCTTTTCTCTTGAAATTAAACAGATTTTTTTTCCTATGGAATTTCAATGCTTTTGTGGTTGTACAGAATTATGTGGCATCTGAATAATTCTGTATTTGAACTCTGGAAACAATAAATGATATTTGTGCATAAGGTTTGAAAATATTGTCATTTTCTATTTTTCAAATATTTCTGCAAATGTTTTTGTATTTGGATGTTGTCTAAATAAAACAACACTGTTGTATGTGTATGGTTTCATTTTCAAGTAGTTTCATGATTTAGTGTTATGACACTGTAATTGTCATAATTTTAATAATAGTGCATGCAAAAACATGTCTTTCTGAGTTTAATGGTGAATTATTCCTGTGTCATCACCGGAATACTCCTTCAGTCGTTTAAAGAATTAATTAATGCTAGTGAATTAACACTTCATTAGCGCCAACTAGAAGCGTTAGGCGATTAAAAATTAATGCCGTGATTAGAGTTTAGTGAAATATACATGATAGTTAAAGTTGCGTAATCAATCAAGACAATGCTACTATGACTCGCGTTAACGTGAGCGAAATTTAAATATTCAAATACAAATTCCGCTTCTGAAATTGATATAAGCACAGATTATATTTTGATGTCTAGAAATTTTACAATTTACGTAATTTTGTAATGTATGCATAGCTTCTATATGAAATGTCTAAAACGATCTTCGTTATATCTTTACGAATGTTTTTATTCGTATTTCTTTCCGTTTATTTTATTTAATATAAACATGATTGCTTAATAAATCAACGCGGTGCAGCCAGTAGCCTACTTATTTAAACATTAGCTAAATATAAATATCCAGGCTGGCAAATTCTTCTGAAACTGAAACAAAACAAATACGACATCAATAACATTCACAATTTATTATAATTTTTTATTCATGCAAACGATTTTAAAAAATAAACTTAAATTGATTACATTATTTCCCTGTTTATCTATATTTATATATTTCCTGTTTAGATTTGAATTGATTTTATTCATTCATATAAGAACAATTATGCGGATTATAGACATTTTAATATTATTAAAACACACACACACACACACACACACACACAATTATAACAGTTATCTTAAACAATTATCTTAAAAGATTGTCTTGGACGTATTTTTCATGCAATGTGCTTTAAAACATTTTAAAAAGTCATTTGGCTGAGCCCTCATTTGCATATGGAATGTTAGCGGTTCCACTCTCACAATGTTTAACGCCGCAACATTCTAAATCGGTGGCAGCAGCGCGCATGCGCGCAGAATCCACAGGTATGGAAGGAAGCCCTCCTCACCGTCGTTAGGCCGATTTACAGTTCGAGGAGGACATGAGATGAGAGCACACACACACACACACACACACACTGCGGGCATCTCCTCTGTACCATCAGCAGCCGAGCGCTACCGCATCCGCCTGACTGCTGTGAGACGCCAGAAGAGGCGCCGCCGGACTCTCGCTTTGCTTTTCGCGCACTTTATCTGCGCCGGATCCCGCGCAAACATGATGTCCATGAACAGCAAACAGCATCATTTCGCCATGCATCCCAGCTTACCTGAGCACAAGTACACATCTCTGCACTCGAGCTCGGAGGCGATCCGGAGAGCCTGTCTGCAGACTCCACAGGTAAACGAGCTCCAAAACTTCTGCGTTTCTCCTCTCGCGTTTTTCTCCTGCGCGCGCGAGAAGGAGCGCTGGAGGCGCATACACCGCCTTAATGTTTTTTTCATGTATTCCACAGCAATCATCTGCACGCCTGTGATCTTTTCTGAAGGCATGCCCACTGAAGGCTCAGGCTTCAGCCTTTTTGTATTCATTTTTATGACTGGAAGCCTCTTAAAAGGAGTATTCTCTGTGTTATGTGTGTTGACACTATTTCCCAGCTGACATCTCCTCTTTCTTTCTCTTTCTCTGACTTTCCCCCTCGTCTCTACGACTCTAAAAGCTCCAGAGCAACATCTTCGCCAGTCTGGATGAGACGCTCCTGGCCCGCGCCGAAGCTCTGGCGGCCGTGGACATCGCGGTGTCCCAGGGTAAGAGTCACCCGTTCAAGCCCGACGCCACGTACCACACGATGAACACCGTGCCATGCTCGTCTGGCTCCACCGTGCCACTCGCCCACCACCACCACCACCATCACCACCACCACCACCAGAATCTGGAGCCGCCAGACCTCATGGAGCACATCGGCTCGCCGTCACTCGCGCTCATGCCCAGCGCGCACGAGGGGGCCGGCGGAGGCGGCGGAGGAGGCGGCGGCGGCGGAGGCTTGATCTCCACGTCGGCCCACCCGCACTCCCACATGCACGGGCTCACCCACCTGTCCCACCAGGCTGCTATTAACATGAACTCGCCGCTCACGCACCACGGCCTCTTACATGGCCACCACGGCGGTGCGCACCAGTGCGCGTCGGGACTCGCCAACAACGGACTGCCTTCCATTAACGACTCGGACACTGACCCGAGGGAGCTGGAGGCGTTCGCGGAGCGCTTCAAACAACGGCGGATCAAGCTCGGGGTGACTCAGGCGGACGTGGGGGGCGCGCTGGCCAACCTAAAGATCCCAGGCGTGGGCTGCTTGAGCCAAAGTACCATTTGTCGCTTCGAGTCTCTAACTCTGTCGCACAACAACATGATCGCGCTCAAACCCATCCTCCAGGCGTGGCTGGAGGAGGCCGAGGGCGCCCAGCGCGACAAAATGAGCAAACCCGACATTTACAACGGCAGCGAGAAGAAGCGCAAGCGGACCTCCATAGCGGCCCCGGAGAAGCGATCTCTGGAGGCGTATTTCGCGGTGCAGCCCCGGCCGTCGTCGGAGAAAATCGCGGCTATAGCTGAGAAATTGGAGCTCAAAAAGAACGTGGTGCGAGTATGGTTTTGCAACCAAAGACAAAAACAGAAGAGGTTGAAATTTTCCGCGGCTCACTGATGGACTATACTTCTAGGAGAAAACAAAACGAAACTGACTTTTGGGGACCAAGGATCATCGCTTTGGCTCAAATGCGCGTGTGCTCATGATTAGTACCGTTTTCTTTTCACAACTCGTGTTTCTTTTCACTGTACTGGTGAATGTGAAGTATGCAAATAACAGGTAATCCAGATGAACTACTTTTCTGCGGTTCAACTCTACTTAGATACACCCAGCTTTATGTTTTGTCCCCCTCCCCGCGATGAATGACGAAAAATAGCCATTGATGGATTACCTCATAGTTGAACTCTATCCTAATTTATTTATTTATGTATTCATTTATGTTCGGCATATGTGTGTATTTATTCATTCGTACACGGAACTGCTATATTTTTGATTATTAAATGTGTTCAAAGCAGATCCCTTTTCACAGTCTTGCTGATGAACTAATGTGATCATTCAGTGTTTCAAAGGTCTGCTCTGATGAATTCACAAATCAGTAGGAAAAGAAAATTATACAGAGTCCCTTTTAAATAATAAAGGTGGCAACCACCGCTCGTATTTGTTGAAATTGCACTGAAATCTACTGTTATTTAGATTGGTTAGATATATTCAAATGCTTTTGTATATATGAATATACGTACAGATGACACTTGCTCACCGTGCAAAACTCAATTCCCGATTTTTTATTTTCTGTTTATTTTTTATGATTATGCTTATTTTGGCAAATCAGAATTCTTCCTCTGCGGATATCAGTTAACTCGCATGATAAAGATGATTATACTTACATTATAAAGGAAAATTGTCCTAAAATATAATTTCGTTGGTTTGTATACTTTGGTTTGCAGTGCAAACATTCTATGCATTGAAAGAAAACAAAAACAAAAAACCAAGCACTACATAGAGTATATCTACTGGTAGACCTTTGTGGATGGTGTAAGTCACTGTTTAATGACTGTTTTCACATAAAGACACAACGTTGTTTGTCGTGTTAATTGTTCCTGAAAAAGTTGTAATGATTTTTATTTTGTGCACAAGTATGTTTACAAACAGCGGCCACGTGCGCGTCACGAGACGTCTCACTCTGTCATACCTGTGCACCTGTCCAGCAGTCTGCTGTCTTACCGTCTTATCATCCAAACCTTTCTCCATTCTGTGTAAGCCAAATCCAGCTGCAGGGACACAAGTCCCGGCAATCTTCTCAATAAACGATGGAAAATCAAAGTCGAGGCTGTCATTGAAGTGCATTGGATGAGAATATTATTCTACAGCACAAACAGACACCTTTTTCGTTCTCAGACTTATTCAGCCTATTATTTACATTTACACATCAACGAAAAATGTAAAATTGATGTATTTTTATTATAATTCAAAATTATCAGCACACACCCACTGTAATCTACACCTGTTCTTTTTTTAAATAGTGCTCTGCACAATTACATTTAAAATAGCCTACATAAAGTTTTCGTTAAATACTACTAAAAAAAAAAACGGCGCAACGATGGACCCAGAAAGTTTTATGCCATAATTAAAACGTAATATATAATTAACATACAACGGCGCAAAAAATTAGCCCAACCCTCGTTTGTTTTGAAAGAGGAAATCGATCCAATAACATTTCTTTCTTTCTTTCTTTCTTTCTTTCTCTTACAGTGGTTTGATTGGCTTCCTTAGCGCAAATCTTTGATATACAGTCATTACTCTGGAAACATGCATTATTTATACATTTTATTTCTCTTCATATCCATGATCTGGAATTCTCAGTCTAGACCGTGCATTCCGTTAGACCAGTAAAAACAGTTCCTTACCACGAAATTCAAGTTTTTAACTGTTAACGAGAAAATGTCTTCAGTTGAACAAAACACATTGCAGACAAAATAGTAAATAAGAGACAAGACGGTCTCTAATGATAATAATAATAAACAGTAATTATAACAAAAATAATATTAGTAATACTTTTTAATAAATGTCGCACTATTTCGGCCACGATTCTACTTGAGTATTACATTTAAATACCCTTACTACGGTTTATTAAATAATTAATGCTCTGTGGTTTGGAAAATTAATAAACGGAATACAACAAGACACTAATTAAAAAGCTCGGTAATTGTTATCGGCGCCCTAATGGGATGTTAGTGTGTCAAACAAATGACATTTTTGGCCATGCACGTGTCTGCTAAATGAGGTAACATGAGCATTACATTAGATCTCCAT